GTGGGAGAGTGTGAGAAATTGATTAATTGATCTTTTAATTGAAATTTGAGATGTAGATTGAAACGAATTGTTCAATGAAGTCCGAGATGCAAATAATTTTGCCAAATGCAAATGTCTTTTGTCACAATGTCGCATTTTAATGGTTGAATTGTCTAGAGTGAGATCCAGAGGATAGAAGAGGTACGAAAATGGCTGAGCGTTCAAATGACAAATTGTTTCCTGAATGAACGTGAAGTACATCCACTACTCAACTACTCCATAATACATAACTGTTATCCCTTTCCTCGTTGAAACCAACCGTGGAATTGCTCGGCTACGGTAAGTTATGATTCCTTATTTATTTTATTCAATTACACGTCTTAATGAGGGAGATAAACATTTATGATAATTAGTTATCACTTGGGGAGGAAATTATTTGCATTATTGGGTTAGTGAACTCAAGTATTCTGAGTACACATCAAATAATTTGTGATTCAATCCTAGAATAATTACCTAATACTAATTAAATCTGAATGATCGATTAAAATTGAGATGGAATTACAACGAGTTTAAACCGGGAAATTTAATTTTCATTCATTCATAAAAATGAGAATAAAATTTGAATTTGATTTGAACATATTTCCCTCCAATTTATTTTCATATACCGGCGCATGATCCACAAAAAGTCGATACTTCCTCCCATTTTCCCAGGAATTCCCATTCAATATTTTTACCACGAATTCGCGATATTTACGAGGGAATTTTACACGCAATGTCTATGGATTTTTCTTGTAATCCTTATGTACCTGTTTATTTTTCACGTTTAGTGAAATTTTTAAAATACTTCGTTAAAATGAGCTTTAGCATCCCACGTTTTTACATTGAAACATTTCACTGGGTTTGAATCGCCGACTTTTCCACGATATACTTTTAATTGTCGCTAATCGTTGTGCACTCATTACACACCGACTAAGTATCATCTAACGAGCGAGGATGTCTCGTAAACAAAGTGGCAAAATCATTAGTACTGTGCACTAAACAACTGCTAAAATATGTGACCTATAAGTCGGCAATTGCGTCACATACCCGTTACATATCTGGTACTCTGTCTCGGTGTTTTTCAATGCGCAGGGTACAGACATGTGATAAAAACGTGTCGATATATTTGGTATTGTGAAATCCCCTCGAGATTAAATTTATTTCCAATAAAAATTCATAATCATTGCACGCACATTTTGCAATATTCCAAAACCAAATAAATTTATCTGAAAATTTAAAATTTTTCAATTTCAGTGAATACCTCCACGATTTTCATGCTCCCCTGATACTTTTTGAAAAATTTCGAATTTTCAATTTCAGTGATTACCTCCTCGATTTTCATGCTCTCCTGATACTTTTTTGAAAATTTCGAATTTTTCAATTTTTTTCTCGGAATTTCCCAGAAGAGTTGATAACGTAGGAAATTCTCTTATCCTATTAAATTGATGAAATAATATCCTGATAATGATAATAACAATAATATTATTATCACAAATATAGAATAATATATTCAAAATAATAATAATAATAATAATATTTCACAAAAAAAAATCCAAAAAATCCCGGGAATCCCCGAGAGATGTCACCGTAAGACAATTCCCGCTGAAAAAAAACCCCAAAAATTCCATTGCATTCATTCATCCAGAGATGAAAATTCCAGACCCCCTAACGCGTCATGACGACAATTTGATACAATTGTAATCAATCAAGTAATTGCAAGAGTTCGTTTGAATTTCCCCGCCGAGTCAGAATTAATTCCCCAGTGTAACTCCCTCCACCGCCCCGCGACATATCGTCCATAAAACAATCTAAAACACAAACTGGAAAACGCCCGAGGAAGGGGTAATAACAGTTGACTTGTTTGACGCACTGACTATTTTATTTAGTTTTGTTTTTCCATTTGTTATCGTCACGTCGTAAAATCGTCGTTATCGAGTTGTCACGGCGTCATCATCAGTCACGCAATACAAATCGAAGTTGATGTGCATCATCGAGTGCCGGGTACTTGGACAATTTTCACACCAGGAGTAACAACAAATCGGTGAGCGTCAGTCCCAACAACCTGAATAATCATTTAATCATTTGAAATATAGCTATTCCTGCTAAATCAAGCTATTCCTGGGTATTGGTAATCAGGGATTAACCTTCAAATTGCAAGGCACTCCTAGGCCTGGGATACCTTGATTTTTGGGGGATAAGGTGAAATAAATATTCAACGGTTTTATTATTTAAGTCAGTCGTGTGCAATGGGTGCAAGGGAATAACGGTTTTGTTGCTTCCTGGGCGTTCACTGTTATTCGCTGGATTTTTTTTTTATGGGGTGAATGAAAGTGCAAGTGACGGGGTCAATCAGTATTTACGTCTCTTTGAGATGTAATTGTGATGTGGGAATATTTTTTTTTTGCTTTTGGGAGGAGCTCCATTCTTTGGGGGAATCATCTAATCAAATGAATCAGTGGACGTTTAATTATTGTTTATTTGTTACGAAATTATGGGAAGGAAAAATAAGGAATCATAATTTCTCGGGATTTCATGATTTTCAAAATGTAAACTAATCTTAAATATTTTATTTTTATTTAGAAAAATTGAACTCGATTGTTATTTGTATTTATATCAGACATGAATGGACCTCTGGGGGTTTATGAATTTTTTTTTTTTAATTATCGTCTTCTCAATAAGATAAATCAAATATTCATAGGCCAATTATCTTGAAATTGCATAGAATAATTTATTCTGCATTATTATTTGGAGATGCATTATTCGAGGATTTCTATTTGAAATGATTTCATTCAGCTGCTCATTACAGTGATAATTCCGGAATAAACAAGAGTGATAAATTCCAGTCATGACGTTTCATATTACTTTCTCCGCAAACTTGTTGAATTGCTTTTTGCTCTCTCGATTCATCAAATAAAAACATTCACTTGTGGTGGCCGAGTTCGTGATATTTTTAGATCAATTCAGTTCCTACTTTTTTCCAAGGTCACGAATATTTTTCGGGTTTAGTTATGAGTGTTGTGATATTATTCTCAAGTTATTATTGGATGAGTTTTGAAAGATGCTCGTGTGTTATGTAATTACTGGTGATGTGTGAGTGCAACCTGTTTTGTTTGTGTATTGAGTCTTGGGGCATTTTAGGACTCAGTGTTGGTGATAAGAAAATTATTGGGGATCGCCGAGGGAAGATGTGATGCGACTGTTAAGAAGCTTCGTCTCATGGCTGAGATGCATTACACGTCAATACCACGAGATTTGTCTGGCGAGTTTGTTTCACTCAAAAAAATATCAAAGGTTTGTTTTTTTTTTATTGATTTGAGATGTTCATAGGTCATGGTAGCATTGATTTATTGAAAGATTAATTCATTTTACTTCGTGGTTTTGAATTGAATTTCATTGCAGTCCCTTTTGCAAAGAATCCTAGTTTTCCCTCAGTTTTAGAATTTAGTTCTATTTTTTTTTGGGAATATCTCCGAAAGAGATGGATTTCGAAAATAATGGAGCATCCGCAAGATATTCTCAAACTCACGGCATCAAAAAATTTTATTATTAATTATTAATTTTTATTCCAAGAGATTAGTATTTCCCTGTCAAATAGTATTCACTTTAAATTTCGTTTCACCACTCCACCTCTCCCCATTCCCCTTTGCTTGATAATTTTTGACTCATTTAACCACTTTAACATTTATAATTTGCTCTTGATTTACGTTTTTTTTTTTGAATGAAGTTTGATACTTTGGACTGTCGGGATAAAATATTTGCCAATGATACTAACTCTCCCAGTGGTCCCCTGTTGCGTGGTGACATGAGCCAAGGAGGAGATAGGTGTCACAAGGAACGCAAGGAACACCGTGACAAGTGTAGAGCGTACAGAAAGTACTCGGAATTGACACCACCGAGTCACCACAGCTACGACAATTATGGGTAATTTATAACTTCATTGCTCGATGGAATGATTATTCTGTATTTTTTTTTTCACTCTGGCATTCGAGGGACTTAATAAGTCGTATCTTATCGCTCTAACTCAATAATTGAGAGGAGAGAAAAACGTAAGATAAGTTTGGAGATTGTCTGTGTTAATGCCACTCGTAGTCGGCGGTATAAGTAGGAGGATGATTTTTTTTTTGTATTTACTATTGGAATGCTGAGAATGCTCTCGATGTGGAGTTCTTTGAAGGAGTTATTTTCGATTTGTGCGCAGTAGAAAAATTTAATTTCTCAATATTCTTTCATCTGTCTCAATTTATTCAGCTGTAAAATTGCAAAATGAGATGAGTTAATTGTGGTTATATTCATTTATCGATAAATATGTAAAAAGATAAGAGAGATAACGCAGAGTTTCTGTGATTTTTTTAATGGAGCAGTTTAAAACCGAGAAAAATGACTTTGATGAAGAATTTTGTGTGGATGCTGAGGTATTTGTCGAGTAATGATCTGGACATTGAATTAAATCATCTGGTTTTGACGTTTTACTCGTGGAATCGTGGGCCTCTCACCGTGTAGTGATAATTACTATTTTTTTTTATACAGTAATTCTGTGGCAAGCAAGTCGAATTCCTTGCCTGGCAGATGCAATGCTGCTCTCCAGGGCTCTGGGCCCCTCGTTGCGACTGGAATTTCAGCGGAGGATCTGGCAAGTCAGCTGACAATCCTGGATGTTGGGGTTTTCAAGGCAATCCGGCCCGAGGAGCTCTCCAGCTGTTCGTGGAACAAGAAAAATAAACTCCTGGTGGCGCCGAATGTCGTCGCTTTTACCAGAAGATTTAATCACGTAATATTCAATATTTATCTCTCAATATAAAATCCATGTTCATTAATTATTTTTTTCTGATGCAGGTGAGCTTCTGGACGGTCCAGGAAATTTTAAATTTCTCAACTCCAAAACAGCGGTCTGAAATGATCGCCCATTTTATTCGCGTCGCTAAGAAATTGTACGACTTGAATAATATGCACTCATTATTTGCTATCATATCCGGTCTCCAAAGCGCTCCGATATATAGGTAACTGAGTCATACCATCGACATCCGGAATTTCCATGCAGATTAATTTTATTGGTGACGTTATAATTATTTTTGGATATTGCAGATTGAATAAAACGTGGGCGTGCCTCTCGAAAAAAGATAAGTGTACGTTCGATAAATTGGCTGAGGTATTCAGTGATAAGAATAACTGGATGAATCTCAGGGAGCACATGGAGACCCTCAGATTACCTTGCATTCCTTATTTGGGTCTTTTTCTCACTGATCTTGTATATATTGACATGGCTCATCCGTCTTCTAAGGTAAATAAGAAATTCGACAAGAGTAAATATTCCAATTGAAAACAATCCGTCACTTTATATTTTTTTTTCACTTGTAAACGACTAGATTTTAATTATTTTTAATGCAATTGAAATTTTTTCGGATTACAGAATAACGACAACCATCAGAGGGCAATAAAAATGAATACAGTGCTGACGAGAGTAACTGTCTTTCAAGCCAGTGATTACTCTGGCATCATTCCATTACCAGATGTTCAGAGATATTTAAATAGTGTACGATACATCGAGGAGCTGCAGAAATTCCTTGAAGACGATCATTTCAAGTAATTAGAATAATTAAAAGTCACTCTTGCAGTGAATTCACAGCACCTCAATTATTTGATTTCAGATTATCGATGAAGCTCGAACCCAATTCTCCAGTGGCCTCGTCTAGCAGCAGTAAAGAATCCGTGGGAGACGTAGCAACTGGTGTTGCAGCCTTGTCTTTATCACCAGCAAGAGGCTGTGCTGGTTCACTGCGTCTTCATGCAGCTTCAGCAGCCAATAAATTCGTTCCAGGACACCGGAAATGCCGGAGTTTAGGAACAAAGTGAGTAATTAAATAAAATAACAAACAGGAAAAAAACGTTGAAGCTCCCAATGTTGATCTGTTATATGGCTAAAATAATTCTATTAATTAATTAATCAATTGATGATTGAATTTCGTGGATTAAGATTCATCGCTTGACAGAATTAATTTATCGCTGTTGGAGTTGATTTGATCGTTGATTTTGTTCACCCTTTCTTTCGCAAACAAAAGACAAATAAATATCCACGATGAAAAATTTTTAATTGAAAGAGAAAAGCAAAAGAAACAAATGGCTCTGTCAGGTTTCGTAGCACGAGCCTTCCACGCAACTTCCATAAACAAGGAGGGCGATACGGGACTTATGGAACGTCTGGGTGAGTCCCAGGATCTCAAACAGGGATTTTAACAATTTATCAGATTCAATTGGCTTATGGACCATATCATTTTGTTGATCATCATTTTAATAATTTAGTTATATTTTATTCATCGTTTTAATTTCAATGGTGCACCTTGGATTGAGGCATCGTGGAACCTAGAAAATGCATGAAGTACATTTACTCACCCATTGATGTTAAACTATATGTTTATTTTTTCGTTTTAATGGTAATTGTTCAGTGGAGAAGGGATAAATCTACACGAGTTCTCACGGTATTTTTTTTTTATCTCCATTGTCTATTTTTTTCCCCTGTCTTATCCTTGACAATTTTCCGCGGATAATTTCTGATTCATTCCTGGAATAATTATTGGAATGATTTCTATGTTAAGTGCTTTATCCATTCGCTACTGACATAACAATCATGTTCTCATAATTTTTTATGTCTCATAGAGGTGATACACTGACGGAAATAATTGGCATGTGGTTTAGATTTAATTTTTATGTTCATAGGATTGTAAAAATGGAAATTGTGTTAACAACTCATTGGAAAATTTACCAGTGAAAATATAAGAGGAAGAAATGCTTTAGAGAATTTACTGACACGTGATAATTGATTTCTCTTATTTTTTCTCATTATCGTACGTTTATGTAGGAAAATGGTAAATGACAAGAGATGAATTTATTTCAGAGAGACTGCATTTTATTGTAAATTGTTTCTCTCGTTGTCTTTACCATTGTATTCAATTATTTTTCGTTACCTTAAAGAACGCAATCATGCCTGCACAATCGTGTAGAACAAGCGCATTGAAAATACAAATTCATCGGCGAGAGGGAATGACATAGAAAAATTCGATGCTTGTCATCAAATTATGCATGACAGAAATCATATCAGCGAGACAGTAATCATCAAAATTTATCACGGAGAAAGTGATCCTGAAATTATCAAATAATTTCATTGAATTTCAGTATCTTTGGGAAGGGAACGGGCACATCGCTGGAGCCTAGCCAGATAACAGTGCGTCACCTCCTGGACGATTCAGTTCTCGAAGAGCCCCATTTGGTGTCACCAGTCACTGACCTGGATCAGAATTCACCTGGAACTCCCACAGATGCTCTCAATGACGACTGCAGTTTGCTTTCTAGAACAAGGTAATTAACGATAGCATGAGAAGATAATTCTCATTAATGAAGTCGTAACAGTGATCTAATTAGACGATTAGACCACTTAGATGTCTCTGGGAAAATTCTCGTTGATTTTAAAATAATATTTTGTGTGACATAATTTTTCTCCGCCTTTACATTTTGGAAAATTTTAATAATTCTAATATCGAAATGTTTGTCCATAAATAAACAATTGGTTGACTAGGAATATTTATAGATAAATAATTTTTAAAAATTTCAGCACTCTACCGATACTCCCCTGTACCGTGGACGGTATAATGGAGCCCCGTTGCTCGATGCAGGGTCTTCTCCGTCGAAAAGTTGTTATGAGAGATGGAAGAAAACCTGCAGTATCGACATGGCAGAGGTACTGGATCCAGCTGTGGGCCTCATCGATAGTCTATTTCTCCCCGAAATGCTTCAAGGGATCGGACAGGTGTGATTTTAAACGAGAACCATATAAAATGGTATCGATCCTTGGATGGATCGTCGAATTTTCGGACAGTATGTTCCATCGGGACACATTTCTCCTCACTGATCCCAACAAGGGCAATGTCTACAAGTTCAGAGCCGGATCTGGTGATTTTGCTGATCAGTGGGTCAAGGAATTGCGTGCCACAGTACGAGGGGGTGTCGAGAGGAAGCCAATTCCTGCTAATCTCATGTCCTTCGAGTGAACTGGATTAACGGTAATTTATCACGCATCGCTTATCACTCACGTATGAAATTACTTGTTAATGATTGATTGAGAAATCTGGATAGAACAAATTGCCAATTATCTGATGGCCAAATACCAAATGCTTCGATATTAATGCTCATTATGACTCCATGGGCTTCATTACAGACGAGACGAGTCGAGTTCTTCATTTTTTCGCTCGGTTGTTTATTTTAAATTTGTGGTGAAATGGTCGTGATGATTACAAAGGTGTCAATTCAATTGGAGATATTTTTCAAAATATATTCAGAAGATATAAAGGTGAATTCAAAAAACCGAAAAATATCTCGAGAAAAATTTTCAAACGTGTGATCTTACACCATTTCTCCAACGAAGTCAATTTTTTTTCGTTTTCCACTGCCACTTGTGTTGGACATTACTCAAAAACGTAAATAAATAGTTTTTTTATTTTTTTAAATTCTGTTGAACTGAATAAATATTGAAGGAAGTGATTTTTCTTTACTATGTTCGATGATGGAGGTGAAAAAGCAGGTGAGGCTTGAATCAATTTATTTACAGTTATTATTTACTTCATTATGATCTAGTTAGACATTAGTATTGACTTTTTTTGCTCTCTGAACTGTACTAGTGACATAGTACATCACGAGTGACTATTATTTATCGTCACTTTATGAATATTTTAAAAACCCTCGTCTCGACGAGAATCCTACGCTTACATATCTCGATATTATTTATACTTAACAGTGAATAAATAAACGGTGCAACATGATGGAAATTTGGGGGGTGGGCAAACGAGTCCATCAATAATCATTGACTTGTGGCTTGGAGTCTGTCTGAGACTGTCAATTATATTTCCATGGCGAGTGAACAAAATAGTTGATTAACAAAATACAAGACTAAATCTTTAAGGTGAAAATGAATAATTCAACGAATTACGTTACAACACATTTTGATAATCGTGTGAATTTTCTGTTTGAGGTAATTGTCGGATAATTAATCGACATAATGATTATTCTATTTGTTTTTAATAATTGGATTGTTTTAAAAATTCCGAGGCAAATGTTGACGATTTATTTAGTGAAATTACCGGTCTTTATTGAGTAAAGATTTTATCCTCGTATTTGTTCATTGATTTAACAAATTTTTATTATACAGACGACAATTCACCGGAATTAAATAAATTTATGATTTGAAATACTTGTGGCAATTACGATTATCTTCAGTGAGTTCTCTCATAAATTATCTCAGATCTGCGATTTGATCTCATTGATGAGACTTTAATTAATTAGATCTCACGATGAAATCACTGCAGAATTAAAAATTCAGACACCAATAAAAATTCTTCAACAAATTTTCATAAAAATTTCATGCTGATACGAAATTCTGTGATGACAAAATTAAATCACATGCATTGAAAGGAAAAATGAAGAGTTTCTCACTCGTAGATATTCGTAGGATAGTATTCACTTGTGAATTATTCTCGTTCCGATTCAGTTATTGAATTTTTTTTTTGTCATTAATCCACAAAAATAATTATTGGATGACTCTCAATAAGAATTCCTTTCGACTCACAATTTTAAGTCGTCGTAATTATTAACGACTGAATATTACCAAAGTACTCTGTTTTTACGTTTTTTTCAATAGCGCAAATGTGAATATAAATTATGATAATGGAAAAATGAATCGCAACGCGTCATTGCTGTGTAGCTTGCCTTTTTTCATCGGCATATCATTAGGCGTAATTATAATCAACGATGAATTCGAGTTCTTCATGACAATTATTCAAATTTCGTTATACCGTTTCAATTTATTCGATTGAAGTTCGAGAAGAAATTGAAATTTTCATTTTTTCATTGAAAAACTACATCGAGATTAAATAAAAAAATACAGTTGACATTAATTTCTTTGATATAAATGTTTAATAGTCTGATATATTTAACTTTTGGAAGAATATTCCTCCCGTCAATGTTAATAACGCGAATAATTCATAAGTCTTGATAATTTTGGAGTGCGTGGGCGTAATATCGTATTATCGTCGCGCGTAACTACTCATTACATATCATTTTACATAGGACTAATGAAAATGAGTGTAATTAATCATTTTGGAACCACCGAAAATTCATTAATCACGAGCTCATTGTGAGATTGACTGAATGATTCAATTTGTTTTCATGGAGAAAAATTAATTATACGACTGATTGATTAAATTAGGGATTAGGACGCCAACATTTTTTTATTTCTTAGTGATGATGCCAAAATGTTAGGAGTTATATTTTTTGGAGTCCCTGATGAGAGAAATCGATGATAAATAATGAGTTCATGATTCCGATGACAGATTTCAACCGGAAAATGCCCATGAATTAGAGATTTTTGGGGGGGGAGAATGATTGGGGAGAGATGAGACAAACAACAGGGTTGTTTGTTTATCGATAATTTACTAAGTTTAACAACAATATTTGAATAACACGATTCATTACATAGAGTGGCTTTTCAACGGCTCCATTATTTCTACTGATTTTCATCATCAGGGAGAGAAATTCTCCGGGTCATTGGGGCCGGAGGTGATTTCAAAGATTTTCATCCATTTTTTTTTAGTCCGCGTAATGCGAGCTGTTGAATTATCTAAAAATGAGAGGTGGAATGATCTTTGGACTCATTTTCGAGTTTTGTATCCAATTTTAATGGTTCCTCCGACTCGCCTAAAATACATTTCACTGGAGAAATAAATAAATAGTAATGATCGTACCGATCGATATCTCTCGCTGGTTGTGAAGTCATCCGCTAATTTGTAAGTGTCAATAGAATTAGAACTGAAAGCTTTCTTGTACCATAGAGACAATTTTCAACAGATGTGAGTGAGCGTAATTAAACAATAGATACAGGTGACAGAATTTCAATAGAAGTGCTGGAACAGGTCAAGTTGAATTGTCACATATTTACCCTGTAATTATTGGAATAATCTCGATTAATTACTTGAGAACAATATTCCATGGATATTTCTATTTTATAACACCAACAACAAATTTAAAACGCTATTATTTAACTCTCCATTTATTTCCGGCGGCAGCCTCTGAAATAATTCTCCGTTGCAAAATACTCTTCTGAATAAATTGTTACATATTGTTCTGCAATTTATTCCCACCGAGATAATTGAATAATTATATATTGATAATAGGTTTCACATTCGACTTGTCCTATTCATCGACTTCACTTGTGAATGAATAATTAATTAATGATGAATTAGCAAATGCTTAGCAAAATGTGTAACAGTGAAAGATTATTATTGAATATTTCACACTGAGTGTTTGTAAATCACTTTATTTTTCTATCCAAGAAAATACGAAGACGTGCGTTGATATTGTGACGCATCGGAATGTCGAGGAATACTCATGATAGATCGACGATCAATGAAAACTCTAAATGGAGAATGAAACAAATAAAATAATTACGAAACAAATAGACAAGTAGAATTAATAAACAATTGTGCTAATTGTTCCATTGTGTTGATTAACGTGTAGATTGTTTACGTTGCAAAGTGCAGATAAAGTTTTTTTTGCAAGAAAATATAACTGTTGTCTTATTAATTATCCAAAAATAATTACTGCGTAATATTAATTCATTGATTACATTTGATAGATTGAAAAATATTGGAGACGTGAGCCGAGTTAAATATATTCATAATTAATTGTTAATAAAAATCCGAAAATTCTGTGGTGCCTCGGAGATATTTATTTATTTATTTTTTTTTATCCTGTTGGTGTTTTCAAAAAGGACAGCACAGGCCACCGATATCATCGAGCTCAATGCAATTGCCGTTGTCAAGACACACCTGTCGATAGACAATGAGCTGTCGGAGATCAGTCTGAGTGAAGTTAAATCGAGATTTGACCCAGACGTATAAATTCGTTGTAAAATTTTCAGGTACCGCCAATTTCTGCAATATTCACCATCATTCGTCTCATCATTAGAATTTCAGTAATGAAAGGGGATGATGGAATAATTGAATCTTTACTATTATTAACCTGAAACTTGTCGACTAATTCCTCAGAAATTCCGAGGGCATCTGGAAATCGAATGTCTGGTAAGCGCTGCAGGTGGGTGGCATTTTTTTGGTAGCCGTCGCCCAGGCAAAATGTCAGAAAATCCCTTCTCTCTGAAAAAAAATCAATGCCAATGGATTTTAATACGAATTTCACAGCCTGATGATTGAACTATCGAAAATTAATGTTCAATTCCGCAAAAGTCTATTACAAGCCGAAAAATCATTTTTTTTTCTCAATTTAATTATTTTTTTATAATAAAATCCAGATTTTGGTGATTAAATAATTAGTACAAAAATTAAGACGGGATTTGAATCCCCATAAAGAATTATTACCCGTTTCGAAAAATAAAAATTATTTTATTATTTCGATGGAAAAAATTATTTTATTATTTCGATGGAAAAAATTATTTTATTATTTCCATGGGAAAAATTATTTTATTATTTCGATGGAAAAAATAATACCGTTTTCAGGAAGTGATAAATACACTTGTTTCCCGGGTGGTACTCCAGTTTCACGAGAATACACCGCAATCACCACCAGAACATTCACGACCACTAGAATCTTCATAATCAACTTCCAGTTAATTAATTGAAATGACGTAATGATTGAATTAATAGTGGTGGTCCTCGAGTATCGTCCAGCGAGGGAAAAATATCGACTGAATTGAACTTTTCATATCTTTCGAGAACCTCCCGTACCCTTGACTCCCGAGATTTCACGGTATCAGTAACCACCACATATTAACGCGATAATCTCAGCTCTAATCCCTTTTGACAGTATCACATGCATTAATATGATTGTCATCGCCCTATCTCTCCATACACTATTAAAAATTTGAAATTTCAGTTACAACTTCATCTCAACTGAAAATAATTCTATATAAATAAATAATATCAATAATTCCCCCGAATTTTCAAGTGAATCATCGAACTAAAATTAATGACTACTCAGTTAATTGCAGACATATCGTTGTCATGAATTTAATCCCTCAGTATCTAGGTGTTATAAATATCGATGATGTTTCTATAAAAAAAAACGTATTGCCTGGATAATGACTGGGTGCAATAAAGATAATGATAAGAAACGTTTGAAATTGAATTCGATCGTCGATTGAATTTTTCAATTTATTTTTTTTTCGCAGTCTGTGGCTCGAGCAATCAAGTGTTTGACCACCAATTAATCTTGGCCATGGGCTCCCCGTCGAGCCCGGGATTTGCCCTTTATTTCCCCCCCCACTTCATCCCCCCTCTTTCCTCAAAGTACACCCAACATTGTTAATAATTAACGAAAGCGTGAGATAGTGGACGCCTTCCCCGGCGGAACAAAACCTAGTGCCTCGTGCACCTCCGGAAAACTAGAATTCCCAGGGATAGAGATGGATCTCGACCATAAGAAACATCACTAGATTTTCCCGTTATTCAAAGGGATTATTTATTATTTAATGCGGTAAATTTTGAGACGGATCGAGGGGAAGAGAATTCCGGAGATTTTGCATCTGAGAGTAATTCTTAATTTGAGACAATTTTAATTCAATCTCTTAATTGTTTAATAAACCAGTCGCGAATTCGTTTTTTTTCATTTGTTCTACAGATTTTAGGCAATTTATAAATAAATAAATAAATGGGATATTTATACATTAATTGAAACAAAAAGTTTTGGGGATCTCGCGATTTTATTGATTATTCAATCTAATGACGAATGAGAAGTAGGGATAATTAATAAAAATGTTAAATTCGGTTGATTTAAATTCACCAATTTGTTACCGATTTATTTATTATTTACAGCTGGCAACAATGATGTTTTAATTGGAATGAGTTTAGAGAGGAACCCTATTTTCGATGTTAATTATCGTATTTAAAATTATCGAAATTACTGATTAATTCAGCGGTTCCAGTGGTGAAAAGTAAAACCACCTCCGATGTTCGTGGTCCTGTTAATTATCGGAGTGTCTAATCAATGGTACCGAGGTAAGTCCTTTTTATTTCAACGAGATCGTGTAATTATCCTGACTTTTCTCTCGGTGTAGATATAATTAGAGGATAATTAGAATATATTTTTTTTGTACGACCGAATGTGTCAGTAACTCCGATTATCAGTTTCCTCGTGATATAGTTTGACTGGACAAGAGGAAAGAGGAGTTTACTGTCGAGGGAGAGAGGAAAAGTAAAAAGGGGGATTGGACATGGAATTAGACCAACAAGCTAGTCGGTGTCGTATCCTAGGTAACGGCTCTGCAAACAATCATGTCCGAGCCTTCGTACACACGATGTTATCCAATGTGTGTCGTGGTTGCATGCAAACCCGAAAAGCATATACGGAATTGCAAGGATTAACACAACAGTTGAATCCCAGTAAAGAGTTTAATCATGACATGGATTTTACTCGAGAAAAGAATAATCACCCCCCAAAATTCCCGAGAAACGCTAATTCCGCGAATTCCCTTTCCTTTTCCATTCAACTGATTCAATTTTTATAAATTGATTGATAACTCGTGTCTATAAAAATAATTCGATCATATAAAAAGAAAAATGTATTTTATTCGAAGCGAAAAAATTCTCTCGGTGTGATTATATTGAATAAATAAATTAATGTTTGATAAATAAATATTTTGGGGGGATTTTAGGGATGAGACTACTCCTGGGGTAGAAAACCTGAAATTTCTGGGATATTACTGTTTTCTAAAAAGACTCTTCTATTTTTTAAGGACGAGAAATGATTTTTTTTTTGCCCTCGACTTCTGAAAACGCGGAAAGCTCAAGTGACCCACGGGGAAATCAGTCCGACCTCGGTGCTTTCTCCACTCTCTCGCCGTTTCACTTGTCTTTTTATCTTTTTTTCTTTTTTCTTATCTTTTTTGCAGACCAGATATATAGATGCACAGAGAGCAACGAGTACCAAGCCGATTGTTTCCCATTGTCGGAAGACGAGAGAGATCCACGGACTCTTCTGGGATTTCTTCAGTATTTTTTCCATCCCCTCCGTCTCTCCACCCATCGCCCTTCCGCACTTCCGCCCTTCCGCCCTTCCGCCCCTCCACCCCACCGCCCTTCCACCCCTCGAAAAATTGAAATTCGTGGGTAATTAAAAATCATTCCAAATAATTTATAATCAATCCGATAAAATATGTAATTGATAAAAGAAGAGAAAGAGATGAAAAGCCGCAGCTACTTGATATTCTCGTGGTCCCCAGGACCTTTACGACCTGACCAACCCCCAGGATCGGCATCAACATCGTCTTCGCACCATCCGGATGATTCTAAATAATTAATTCTAACATAGTTACCGGTGTTTTTATAACTGTTTTACCGTCCAACGCCTTGGCGTTACCCATGTATAATTTAACCGACGGTGTTTAAAGTTAAATCCCTAGGGAAACAAGAAGGTGCGAAACAGGACGAGGAGAGGAAGGTGGTGATCCACGTCGTCAGGGTGTGCGGACTAAACCCACCAACTCCCTTAGACACCCGTTGACGTCGTAACGACGTGAAAAATTAAAAACAAGGCCAAGTGTCCTCGGATTTACCGTTTTATTTATTTATCCATTACTGGACCAAAATTTATCCGTTCAAGAAATTCTGGGATTTACCCTATTTCGTAATCCATTCATTTTTTTCAATTTTTTATCACAACATTATCAATATTATATTATTATTTATTTATTTCTCATCTCTATCGCATTGCGTAATTGTAAAAATTGCAGGAAAATTTTGGACTTGTCATTTTTCAATTATAATCGTTCCCATGTAATCAAAAAAAATCAGAAAAAAATAGATATTACGGTATATTCCATGAGAAATCCCATTACACGTATTTTTTAGTGCAGTCGGCTTAATATTGGATGGTATGGGTGCATAACTTGAGCATTTCCACTTCTACCGTACCAATTCGCATTATTTATTCAGTACCTCATCTCTGGAAACAGCTAAACCGGTACAATTCACCTAGCGAAAATTCAGAAGATGCCCAGCGAAATTACAGAATATGTTGTAATAATGTTTTCGTTTTTTACTTGAATTCCATCGGTGAGGGATGATTTCCATGCCGTAACTCATAATTTCCGGAATTTTCCCAACAATTCCCAGCAATAATTATCGTTAACTCTTTATTATTTTATTACTAAATGATTTTAACAATATAATTAGTTGATATGAATCTGAATTGAATAAAAAGGGAGGATGAATTCAGGTCTCGTTAATTAATTACACCGTTTAATTAATTGACCCAGACATATACAGCAATAATTACTGTTGACTCTTTATTATTTTATTACTAAATGATTTTAACAATATAATTAGTTGATATGGATCTGAATTGAATATAAAGGGAGGGTGGATTCAGGTCTCGTTAATTAATTACACCGTTTAATTAATTGAATTTGCAAAAAAATGTGGAACGCTTCACGATTTTGCGTGTCATCCTTGCGCAGGGGCCATGCTAATCTTCTCTGTATCGTTCCAATTTTAGTATATGTACTGCCGAAGCAAGTACGACAATTGGAAAACCACTTGTTTCATATATACCAAAAGGGGTGATACAGAACCACTTGCGAGAGACCGGATGAACAAATCCGTACGATTTGTGGGGCAAAGCCACCTATCGGGGAGATCCAGAACTAAAATCCCATTATTTGAAATTTGACATCAAATCGTAACTTACGATCGTAATTTACCCTCTTATTACCATCTGAAATTATTTGAAATTCCAATATTTTCCCGCTCTCCACCCCTCGCCAAAAATTTTTAAACAATTCGCAATTCCAAAATTATCCAATTTTTTTTTTCATTCGAGTAAATTTCTTTATTTATTTCTATACGCAACCGCAAAAATTCCCTTTATTCCATCTTCCCTGGGAAAAATACCGTCATAAATAATGAGTTCATTGGCATTTTATACAGGTAATATGGAGGCATGAGGTATTCACCGGAAGTGATTAAAAAAAAAAACGCCCCATCGCGAATAGCTCGAAGAGTTCGAAGGAATCACCAGGATCGAGCGATAAAACAATTGTTGTTTCCGAGGCTCAGAGGTACCTACAGTCATATTTTCCAGGAGAAATACACCAAAGGGCAGTACTTATAAAATATTCAGGTGAAAATGCGGGAGGTAAGGGAGAGCGGCTCTTATATCTTCGACTGGAGTATTGCGCACACCCCAAAAAGTCGAGTGTAAGATGTACCCGACGGGTTGAGATTTACTTCATGATTATTGGTAGATATTTTTCCCATTTTATCTCACTCCAATTTTCCCAAGAAAACTCCCAACACAAAAAAAAAATGATCATCAACACTATACACCCCAAAATGAATATTTTTTTTTTCTTGGATATTTAATTTCACTTTAAATTCCGCCGATGCCTTGAACAGAAATAAAAAATAATTGACTCATCCTAAAATAATATTAACACAACTGATATATTATTATATCATTAATATATTTTATATTTGATATTCTCCTGAAATTCCTCACGATAAAAATTGATAAAAATTTTCCCCAAAAAATAAGCAGTTGTTCCGCTCAATGATATTCCGCGCAGGGCCAATCCCGTGGGTTGGTGAAAAATTAAAGCGGAAAAGTCGTGATGTCATCCGCGGTTCGCGCCCAAAGAAAAGCGGGAAAGCATGCGAATGAAAAAAAATATATGCTCTGGGTTCAGAGCACGAAGTCGCTTTGAC